GTGTGGCGTGGGGTCGCGCCCGCCCCCCGCCGACATCAAAGTGCGTTTACCAGCGTCCCTCACCGTAGCCTCTGGGCTTCACGTCGGGTCGCTCCGGCCCTTCCTCGCCTCTGGTGCACTGCTCCGCCGAGCTCCGTTTGTCCCCCCGCGGGTCTTTTAAAATCTCGCCCCCGAGAGGCTTACGGGCTTAACGCAGGCGGAACCTGCCACCTGATCTGTAAACAAAAGCCATTTGCGCGGCGAGGGATCAGGCGCGTGCTGCAGGGCGCAGCATCTCTAGGCTGCTCGTGCGTGGGAGGCGAGAGCCGATCCCGTTTGTGTCTTGGAATGAGTCAGCGCGTAGCCAGGAACTCGCCGATTCCTCCGGGCTCGAGGGCTCTGTCGCAGGCTGCTCTTTCGAAGACCGGCCCGAATTTTTAAAGCTACGGAGGCGCCCAACTCCCCTTGTCGAAGTCGGACGGCTAAAGCTGTGGCAGGGGGCCGGGGCTTCCCAGCAGTACCCTGTTTCTTTGGCCCCCTCACCCTTCCAGCCAGGCACCACACAATCTTTAATGGAGTTATCCCTGGCCATGGCAGTGCTGTTATCCCTACACCGAGGTGGGGAAACTGAGGCACAGCAACTGACTGGGGGGTGGTGTGTGTCAGAGCTGAGTCTGGACCCCAGACTAGTGATCTACCCGCTGTGCCATGTAGAAATCTCTTCAGCGCGTGGCTTCGCAGCCAAAGGCCGAGAGAGCCCAGCCAGACCCTTGCTGGCCTCCATACAGCTGTACCACCGGGGGTTCCAGTCTGCGGGACACAAACTAGGCCCGACGCTGAGGCCCACATGGAGTTTTCCAGTCTGTGACTAGGAGCCAGCCTAGACAGCCTCGCATCTTGGGGTCTCTGGGTCCTCGCCCTCCTGCTCACGAGCTCTGGGGGCAGAACCCTGATGTGGGGCTGCTGTGGGGAGCAGCCGGAGCTCAGCACCTCCAGCGCTCTCGCCTCGTGGGGTTCAGAGGGGGGGTTAGCCCTGCAAAGCAGCCTGCGCCAGTCTGAGAGCTCCCTGCCTTATTGCCGCCGCCACGACCTGCCAAGGGAGCAATCCGCTGCCGTTTCGAGGGCGGCTAGAGCCGCCGTGCCGGGGCAGGGCCCCTACCAGGCCCTATTCCCTGTCTGTTCCAGCAGCTGGTTCTGCTTCCTGCAGCGAGGGAGGGATGGAGAAAAGGTGACTCATCCCCTCCTTGCAGTGAAGTCTGTGCGAAGCGGCGTGGGGGGAGGCTGCTGGCGTCATGGGACAGCGCTGGCAGGGCCGCGGCAATCTGATTAGGTAGTGTCCAGGAGCCCCAGACAGGGACCAGGCCCCAGCTGTGCCAGGCACTGTGTGTTCTTTATTAGGTGTTTTACGGTAGCACTTAGGCAGGGATCAGGACCAATGTTCCCTCTAATTTTTTCCATCCATGTGTGGAATAATTTTGTGCACTGAGGCATGTGTGGATGTGCACCACCAGTAGACACCCGAACCTAGCGGTGAGCGCGCTACTAATCAGCTGGGCGGCACTGGACACTCTCCTGGACAGCTGCACAAGCACCTGGTTTACAGGGAATGCAGGTCAGGACCCCCCCCACTGCTAGGCCTGTGCGCACATGGAGCTCGGGCAAGTGCCGTCCCTTGGGGCAGGCATGCTCACAGCCAGGGCTCAAAGTCCAGGGCAGCTGCTCCGGCCTTTTCTCTGCCGGGCTGCATCCAGCCCCCTCTGCTCGTACCGGGGGCCTGTGGGCGCCAGGCAGGTACAGCGCCAGGGATTACCCGGAGCTGCCTCTCGGTTCCCTCGTCCAGCCCATCTACCCCGGCGTCCTGTCTGCACCCGGGTTCCCTCTCTCCTCAGCCCCATTCAGTGCAGAGATGCAAGCCCTGGTTTTGCGAGGTTAAGATGACAGAAGTACATGAGCACCTGCCCGGGCTGGGAGTCAGACTCAGATCTCCACAGTCCCAGGTTGGGTGGGGGCGGCTCCCAGCAGGAGGACGTGCTGTCGGCATGAGCCGCGGCGGCCGT